ACGTTGGTTTGCTTCCATCATTTTTTGAGTTGGATTTGGAACGGGTTTAATAAATTGATCTTGGCAAAAATTAGGGCTGAATTGAGACTTGACTTGTTCAAATATGATTTGAAAACTACATAGAGTTCTGGCGAAAACGTGAGATTGTTTCTGTTGAAATAAATCGTAATCTTGATCAGTTTATCGTTAATCCTATAGAAATCGATCTTGGAATAAGGTAAGTTAGCATTCAAACATAGTATTTAATCCTTAGATCACCGAATTGACCTGGCGACCAAGCGAACAAAACAGTAGAATATAAATCTGAAAATTTGTTGAAAAAAAAAAATGCGAGTCCAGAAGAATTTCTTGGAAGTTTTCGCGGTTTAACAAAGTTTCACTGCATTTTGTGCTAAACAAGGTTCTATAGTGCTTATTTAAAATACCGGGTAACTGAAGTGAGATAAAATATTCAAATGCATTGACCCTAAATTTGCTTAACTTAGAGCAAAAAAGTGATGAAGACAAACTTTGTTTGAAATTTTAAAAGCAGTTCATGGTGTGGATGCTTTTTCAAATTTTTAGCCAAAGAACTCCGTAAAACTAGCCTTGAATTTCGGCAGAAATAGAAAAAAACAGTGTTTGATGATTTATTAATTGACTCTAATTAAATTACTCCAATAAGTAATTGCGAGAATAACTACAATTGAGTCCGTTTCTCTCCTTGTTTTTGAGTCAATTGAATTGTCCGATTTAGTGTTGCTATTTTGGTTTAAAATTTTGCAAAAACTTTTGCACCATAAAAAAGCTACCAAACCCTTTAAAAGTTTGTGTGACCATCATTTTTTGTCCAAATTCAACCAATTTTTTTAGATTACTTACTGTGAAAAATTTGTGTTTGTTCATTTTATCTGATCCCTCCAACTCAGAACTTTCAAAGATTACTCCAATCGTTCAGTACAAAAACCAGTGAAAAACAAGCAAAACAAAAAATTAATCAAATGAATGAAATATAATGGCTGTATAGTATATGCCAAAATATTAGTTTTATTTACCCAAGTTTTTGTGAGAATAGAGATGACTAATTTGAAATTTTTTTTCGAAAGCAACCTGTAAACTGCTTGCTAACTGTCTCGAATAAACAAAAAGTCATTATTGAGCCCCCTCACGAGTTTTTTGTTTTTTTTTCAAATCCATGAAAACGAAAAATTACCAATTGGAATTCGCAAATTAAAACTCAAGAAAAATGTAGTCGTTAGATAGTTTACTAAAAATTCCAGCGAAACGTTTTAAAAAAATTGTTTCGTTCTGAAGAAAAAATCAAAGTAAAGCAAAAAAGAGTTTGTGAAGCATGATGTTTTTCTGTAGTACCTGCCGTTTAGGTTTCATCTCGGCAACACGAGGTTCTTTTGTGGTACATGTTTTTGCGTCCAAACCTACCACACCCTAATATTTCGAAGCACTCTAATCCTTTTTTACTTATGGTTTTTCGTACTAATTTCAAATGCTCTAAGGTTTCCTTACAGCCAAAATAGTTTTGTCGGTCTTTTTCTTCCCGGGTAGAGGTCCCAGACTCATGTCCAGACTTTGAGGGTCGAGCCGCAACCGGATTTAGACTCAAATTGCATAGTTGCGCCGAGAGTTTGAGTCTGGAAAGTGTGGACATGAGTCGCACCGTGGGCGGAAAAAGTCTGGACATGCCAAAATTTGGTCGCGAGTTTCTGGATATGGGCGGCGAAAGTTTAAAAAAACTCAAAGGGCATTCAAAAAAATTAAAAAATTGACTCGAAAACTAAAAAAATTCGACTAATTTTGAAATATTTTCAGAAAATTTTGATTCCGTTTTTTCATGAATTAGTTTGAATTTTGTTGAATCTTATTTTGGAGAATCAGAACTTGGCAATTTAAAATTGAAATGAAAAAAAATTATAGAAAACGATGAAAGTAGGTGATTTTTTGAGATTTCAGCATTGAGTTGTCTTTTTTCCTAAAAACCCTCAGAGAACATGTAAATTGAAACGATACAAAAAACTACAAAATGAAACGTTGGACAGGAAAAAAATATACACAGTTTTGACAGTTATTGGTTTGGCCGCATCCGCCTTGGTATGGATATTCCTACCGTTTTCACCTTGGCCGCGAGGAATTGATTCTTAGTCGCGCCGTCTCCGTCTTGGTCTGGAAAAATGCGCCGTCTCCGCCTTGATCTGGAAAGTCGCACCGTATCCCCCTTGATATGATCCGTCTCCGCTCTCATCGCTTAAGTCGCGCTACATCCACAACGGTGGCGAAGAATTAATTCTTGGTTGCGCCGTCTCCGCCTCGGTCTCGAAAGTCGCGTCCTCTCCGCCTTGGTCTAAAAAGTCGCGCCATGTCCGCCATGGTTCGGAAAGTCATACTGTTTCGACCCTGCTCTGGAAAGTCGCACCGTATCCACCTCAGTCGCGACGAATTTATTCTTTGTCGCGCTGTCTCCGCCTTTATATGAAAAGTCGAGCGGTCTCCGCCTTGGTCCCGAGGAATTGAGTCTTGGTCGCGCCGTCTCCGCGATGGTCTCGAAAGTCGCGCCCTCTCCGCCTTGGTCTGAAAAGTCGCGCCACCTCCGCCATGGTTCGGAAAGTCGCGCTGTCTACACCTCTGTCTGGAAAGTAACGCCGTCTCCGCCTTGGTCTGAAAAGCGCGTCGTCTCCGTCTTGGTCTGGAAAGTCGCGCCGTCTCCACTCTGAACGCGAAATTCGCGCCGCTTCCAATGACATAGTTCTTGGTCGCGCTGTCTCAGCCTCGGTCTGGAAAGTCACGCCGACTCTACCTCAGTCGCGAAATCTTGAAAGTGCACTTTTTGGTCACACTGGCCAGGCCGGTCGCGCCGTTGCTTTTTGAGTCGCGCCGTTTCCTGAGTCGCGTCGTATTCACCTTGGACGCGAACGTCGCGCCGTCTCTACCTCGGTCGCGACAGCCCTGAATTTTTTTTTGTCGCGCCGTCTCCATGTTTGTCTGGAAATGGCTAAGTTTAATCGCGCTGGTCACGCCGTTACCTGATCCGTTACTGATTCGGTCGCCGAAGTCGCGCCTTGAGTTTTTCGGTCGCGAAAGTCTGGAAATGAAAACTCTTGGTCGCGAGAGTCTGGACATACCAAATATGAGTCGCGACGTTTTGGTCGCGCCACCTCCGCTTTGCTCGCAAAATTCGGGACGGATTATGATGGTCGCAAAAGTCTGGACATGCCTAACTTTGGTCTGGAAAGTCTGGACATGCCAAAATTTTGTGTGAATGCTTTTTCAATTTTTAGCCGAAAGCGTCTTAAACGATCAGACATTCTGGGCCAAAATTAAAAAAAAACAGTTTTTGATTATTTATTAAATGACTCTAATTAAATGACTCCAATTAGTAATTGCGCGAATAACTACAATTGAGTCCATTTCTCTCCTTGTTTTTGAGTCAATTGAAATTTCCGATGTAGTGTTTTTTTTGGTTTAAAATGTTGCAAAATCCTTTGCACCATAAAAAAGCTAGCAAAACCTTTAAAAGTTTGTGTGACCATCATTTTTTGTCCAAATTCAACCAAATTTTTTAGAATATTCACTGTGAAAAATATGTGTTAGTTAATTTTATCTGATCCTTCTAACTCAGAACTTTCAACGATTGTTCAGTACAAAAACCAGTAAAAAACAAGCAAAACAAAAAATAAGTCAATAGAGTGATATATAATGGCTGTATATGGCAAAAAGATTACCCGGGTCGAGATCCCGTTCAAAAACCGCTCAAGATATGAGCGGTTTGAGCGGTTTTCCAGAAAGATTTGAGCGGTTTGAGCGGTTTGAGCGGTTTGGGCGGTTTGGGCGTTTTTTTTTTTGGAAAAACCGCTCAAACCGCTCATATATTGCTTAAAAAACCGATCAAAAACTGCTCATTTCTTGCGGTGAATTTTGAACGGTTTTTCAAGCAAGATTTGAGCAATTTTTCAGCGGTTTTTGAGCTGTCTTCCCGGGTCGAGGTCCCAGACTCATGTCCAGACTTTCGCGACAAAATTTTGGCATGTACAGACTTTCCAGACCAAAATTAGGCATGTCCAGGCTTTGGCGACAAAAATATGGCATTTCCAGATTTTTGCGACCATGATGATCCGTCGCGACTATCGCGACCGAAGCGGAGGTGGTGCGACCAAAACATCGCGACTCATATTTGGTATGTCCAGACTCTCGCGACCAAGAGTTGCCATTTCCAGACTTTCGCGACCGAAAAACTAAGGCTCGACTTTCGCGACCTAGGCGGATATGGCGCGACCCTGCAGGTCAGGAAATGGCGTGACCGGCGCGACCAAACCTAGCTATTTTTAGACTTTCCAGAACAATATGGAGACGGCGCGACTTTCCAGACCAACATGGAGACGGCGCGACTTTAAAAAAGTTTTTCAGGGGTTTCTCGACCGAGGTGGAGACGGCGCGACTTTCGCGACCATGGAGGACACGGTGCGACTCAGGCAACGGCGCGACTCCAAAGGCAACGGCGCGACCGGCTTGGCCAGCCCGACCAAAATGTGCACTTTCAAGACTTTCGCGACCGAGGTGGAGACGGCGCGTCTTTGCAGACCGAAGCGGAGACGGTGCGACTTTCCAGACCGAGAGATAAACCGTTCAAAAACCGCTCAAACTGCTCATTTTGAAGCAAGATTTTGAGCGTAATCGTCTAAAAAAACCGCTCAAACCGCTCAAATCTTGCTTCAAATTAGGTGAAAAATCTCGACTCGGGTAGTTGTAATTACCCAAGTTTTTGTCAGAATAGAGAGGATTAATTTAAAAAATGGGTCCACCCCTTCCCTCAAATCACCCCTGAATGAGTGGTTAGCTAGCGAAGTTTCTTGTTCTTAAAACTAACGAACTAATACTTCAATTTTTTAACGAACGAATATCTATTTTAAAAAGAAGTTATAGAATTTAGAAGGAAAAACGGACTTGGGTGGCATTTGGGAACGCTCCCTTCCCTATGATAATTGCGCTAGCAGCAAATGACAAATGTTTAGTGTGTCCTCGTTCGCCAGCAATGACATCGACCCCTACCCCTTTATGAAGAGAAGTGGCGACTGTGAGATGGGGCTCTGTGTGATGAGAAGACTCACGAGGAGTCGTGGTTTTCGAAACCAGATGGGGACACTCTATGGGGACAATCATATACCAGTGCGACTGAGAAGAGAGGCGTGGGTATGGAGGAATGAAGGAGAGTTATCAAAATAGTTTCCGAACTGACGACTAATGAGCAAATCAAATCATGAATTGAAAGTCACTTATAACGAGCCTAACATTATGATGAGTCCCTGAAAGCAATTCAAAAAAATCAATGATATTTTTGAAATTAAAAGTGATTGATATTGAGCAGCTGTAGGAAAATTTTGCATGAAAAATTTTATTCTGAAAAAATAAAATGTAATCATGCATGATGACATTTAAAATTTTCTTTTGCTGATTGAACTAATTCTTTATAAACTAACGAGCTTTGGCGACTGAACAGGCCAAATTTTTTTTTCAAATTGTAGAACAAAATCAAAAAATTTGAATGTGAGGCTTAGACCTCAGAAGAGATATACAAACGAGACCTGCGTATTGATATTGGCCCACACTTTGATGTCAGGATGTCGCAAGATGTAACAGCGGACATAATTTATTTTTTCAAAAAATTATTGGTTTCTAACTGTGAAAAGACGGTTTCGAAGTGTTAATTAAATTCCGTTTGTTAAGCAACCGTATTTCATAAAGTAAGTCGGAGACAATAGCATAGCTGTCATCCGAAGGTGACAGACACTCCGAAGGTTAAATACCGGTTAGCGCCAGACAGATGATTAAAATAGATAACACAACTCGAATTGAAACATGAACTAAATTTAGATACTATGACATTTCCCTCCTTGTAATAAATAATACTCAATTCCAATATCCAACGTATTTATGTTAGCAGTAAACAATAGGGTTAATAACAAAGTTTTTCAAATCAACTACAGTTTTGTTAGAACACAAATTCTTGAGTTTTAGCTGTTATGCAGCATGCCCTCTCCCTGGACTTCCCCATTTCTTTAGCAAAGTTTTATAGACTGTTCGAACTCAATTTTTCCTTTTTCTTTTCTTCATTCCTTTCCTTCGACTGTTCCGGCTTTGTCCGTTTTTCTAATGTTGTCAATCATGACCCCCCCCCCCCCCATCTTGGTCACTGCTGTCCGTTTTCTGCCCGACCGTCTTGAGCTTGTGTCGTCCAGTGAGCTAGCCGAATCCTGGCTTGAATAGGAAACAAGTCGTTGTTTCCGGCCCCGTTTCTTTCCCCCGGTTACTGTGATCTGCTCTGGTTCGCGCTCCGTTTCTTGTGGTTCGGATCCTTCGGTATTCGTTCTCCCCTGGTCATTCCCGATTCCTGTTTCGCCGCCTGCCAACGTATCTTCCTTTTCCGTCTCCTTATTGCTGGTACGAACTCCGATGACTTCTAGTTGCACTGGTCCCCCACTAGATGTTCCTTGTCCATCTTCCCCATTGTTGTCTTGACCGCTTGTTTGTTTCGCCCCTCGTTTGGATGTGCTCAACGGTAAATAGTCGTCCGATTCGGAGTCTGAATTTTCTGCTGATTCCAAAATTTGGAATTTCGATCCCTTTCCCGTGATGGTGTGATGACTTCCCTTGGTGCCTTTTGAGGTTCCTGGCTGACTTCCACTCTGTTGTAGCTTACGTTTCAGATCCCACGGCGTTGGTGGTGCAGGTAGTTCTCCTCCCGGCATCCGCTTTTTCGGAAATTTCGCTTTCCTGAGCGCTACTCCTGATTTCCTAAGCACCGCACCATTACTCATTTTAATAGTGTGTTCAGTTTGATCAACTATTTTGGATTTTAATAGTCTATACCTATTCATATTACGCTCCCCAGTCCTCTGCATGACCACTGCCGGTGGTATCTCCACAGGGTCGTTTGATGACCGTGTTATTCCGGGCTCATTGTCCTGATCAGCTGCTTGTCCATCGGTTAATCTTAGCGGTCCCCGTCTGTTTTTCCGGTCGTATTCAGTATCCGATCGGATTCCCCAATTAGTGTCCATCGGCTTCGGCATCGTTTGAGCAATCGGGTCTCGTTCATCTAAACATTCATATTTCGATCGTATTACATTTTCCCAATTTAGATTTCGTAACGTAGGTTTTTTAGTCAAGTTTCTGAGAACCGTATTGGCTTCCCGGCCGTGGTGCGCTTCGAACGGTGTTATTTTAAGGGATGCATTTTTCACAAATCTTAGGGCTCCGAGGGCTCTTTCCACCATTCGATCCAAGGGTTCCGGCTTGTCCTCTTGTGCATACGTCAGCACTGAATTTTTGATGCTACCAATCGTGCGCTCAACACATCCTGTTGCCCTATGGTCATTAACTGGCGAAGTGAGGATTTCAATTCCTTGCTCATTGCAGAACGTTTTAACTTCCTTAGACATAAAGTTTGTTCCCTGGTCAACTCTAATTTGGCGCGGAACTCCATGGGCAGTTATGTACATTGTTAAAAATTTGATAATTTTATCCGAGCGGTTCGAATTACAGACCATAGCTGATGGCCATCGTGAGAACCGGTCCACCGCCACCAAAACATACTTCTTAGATTCCTTCAAATAGTTAATGGGTCCCCAAAAATCTAATTGGATTGATTCATTCGGTTCTTTTGGTTCAGGTATTTTCCCTATATCATCCTTCGAACACATGTTTTTCAAGTTCTTACCCGCTAATGTGCATTCCGGACAATTCCCAGCAATAGTTGCTAAACTACGAAACATGTATGGATACCAGATGTCCTTAGCCGCGTCGATCATACTGGATTTTCCGTGGTGATAGTAATGAAGTCTGTTTACCACCGCCGTCTGCAATGTATTCGGAATCACTAGCCTTTCGTCCATCCACAGGCATCCGTCTCTTACGTGGAAATCCTGAGTATACTGTGCGAAGTACTTACTCATTGCTTCAATCTTCGAGTGTAACTGAGGGTCTTTACATTTAATTAACTCGATAATGGCTTGTAACTGTGGATCAGATTGATATTGCGATTCTATAAATCGAAGATTAAATAATTCGGGAAGAGCGGAATGTTTACTGACTATTTTACAATTTCTTGGAATAATAGACATAACTTTGTTTTCCGGATTAACCGGCGGATAACTTTCACCAGGGTAAACCGACGGAATAGAAATGATGGTGTTTGTTTTAGTGCTCCGGACTTCTGTTGTTATCGCCTGTATATCTACGTCAATCTCCTCAATTTCATCACTACTGCTAATGCTAGGGTGTCGTTCCAATAATTTCTTGATCTTCCTTTCCATGATTAAATTGCTTGAATTGTTATTGTTTATTAACGAATTTAAAGATTTAGAGTAACCAAAGTTAGCTTCAATAATAGTCCCAACTGAATTTTCGCTAAACTCAGTTGACCTGCCGGAAATGCAATTCGTTGCTCTGTGATTGGTCCATTTTCCGTCGCATGATCGCTCGCCCTCTACCGGTCGTTTTCTATTCGATATTTTACAAACGCGTTTATTTTTAGTAACCGATGGAGACTCGAGTCTATTTTTGGAGAAAGTTCTATTTCTAAATCCGAGGGCGGATCTAATTCTACTAATTTTCGCCACCGTAAACATACTATCGTAGGTGCTAATTGGTTGAGGGTCTGAGCTCGGGTGCCTTGAGAGATAATCCGCGAGTCCTATTTTTGCTCCGGGTTTATGTTCCACTTGAAAATCGAACGGTATAAGGCGATCTAACCATCTTGTTAATCTGCTGAACATTGTTTTGTTCTTTTTATTGTTCCCATTTAGCAATGACACTAGTGCCTTGTGATCCGTAACTATTAAAAATTTCCTTCCCAGCACATAATTTCGGAAATATTCGGCCCCCCACACAACTGCTAACATTTCCAATTCATTCGTTGAGTAATTCTTCTCTGCTGCGTTTAGATACCGGGATGCGAATGATATCGGCCGCCAACCGTCGGCATTTAGTTGCTCAAGAACCGCCCCGAGCCCATTATGACTAGCGTCACATACAATTCTTGTGTCCCGGTGTATATCAAAATGCCGAAGTTCTACTATATTGGCCACTTGCTTTTTCAGACTCTCGAATGATATTTGACATTCCTCGCTCCAGATGTAATCGTTTTTCCGGCTTAATAATGGGCGTAGTGACGCTGATGATTCCGCGAGCGCCGGAAGATATTTGTGCAAGCTGTGAATGGAGCCCATGAATGATTTAAGTTGTGACACCGTTTTTGGCGCTTTCAGCGATTCGATCGGTTCCGTTTTTCGGAAAAGCGGTGTTATCCCCGTACGGGTTATTTTGTGCCCCAACCACTCACATTCCCCCCGCGCAAATTGGCATTTTGTGAGTTTAAGTGACATATTCTCGCGATCCAGCTTCCGCAAAATTTTCTCGACTGTTGAGATATGCTCGATCTCCGTGCCTTTGGTGACCACCAATATGTCATCAATAAATGCATGTGCCTGCGGAAATTCCGAAAGAATCGTATCCATTACTCGTTGAAATTCCGCCGGCATGGTAGTAAGACCGTAGAACCCCGTACGAAATCGATACGTACCCGTCGATTTTCCTCCCACTAGCGAAAAATTGCATTGAACGCTCGTTTCCGGACTAAGTGGTAATTGACCGTACGCGTACGTAAGATCCATAGTAGAAAAATATACATCCCCTGGTTTCCGTTCGCTTATCGTTTGTCCTACCGTATCCATAAGTTCCTCAATATTTGGCATTTGGTATTTGTTTTTGTGGACTTGCTTGTTCAACTCCCGTGATTCTAGCGCTAATTTTACCGATCCGTCCTTTTTCACCGTTATTACAATCGGAGAAACAAAATATTTATCCGAGCATTCAGTCAGTTTTTCAATGTGTCCTTGTCGCAAAAGTTTATCAATTTCCTTATCAACCTTTTCTTGCAATGTGATTGGCACCCTACGTCCTTTCTGTTGAATTGGTGTTAACTTTTCAAAAAAATCCGCGTGTACCTTATAATTCTTAATTTTCCCGACTCTGTTAAAAAGGTTTTCAAACTGCTTACTGAAATAAATCTGCCAGTTGTCTAGTGAGTCCTCCACGTCCGTCGCTTCAGCTGTGGCTTGGTCGCTCTTTACCGACATCACATTTCCCTCCGGTGCCTTCTGCACAATCTGTAATCCAAGATTTGGCATTAGGTCTCTTCCAATAATTGATGGTCTGCTTCCTCCAATCACTCTGATGTTTGCGTTGGTCACCCATCCGTTCGTTTCCAGCAGTACGTCCATCGTTCCTAGTAGTCGTAGGGGGTTGTTTCCGTAATCCCTGAACTCCTCGTCCTCCGGTGCTGGTGCCTTCACCTTGACGCCTGCGGTACCCAACGTTCGTTTTAATTCTCCAATAGTGAATATCGAAATCGGTGATCCACTGTCTATCCAAACGTTCGTTTGTTTTCCATTTACTTTAATCGGCAGTCGTGCACCGGCCACTTTTAGCTCGGTTTCCGTCCGAGATCTGATTGCCATGACGACATAATCTCCTGAGCTATCCGAGTCCCACGATCGCTGCTTCTTGGCCGGTGTATTGACCCAGCCGACGGAATTCTCATGCTGAGAATATGTATCCTCCGCTTCACCTATCTCGGTAGTTTCCA